CACAATCACAAAAATATAATAATGCATGAAAAAAACATAAATATGATTCATCTGGTAATAGGTGTTTTGATTTATTCAATATAGATAATATATTAGTTTTTTAAAAATCTAAGTACCATGATAGCCTGATAAAGAGTAGTTGATTTTAAATGTCTAACACAATTAACATGTAAGAGAAATTCATCCATTCCGTCGAATATAAAATATCCAAAATTCCAAATCTTAAAGTTTAAACTCAAAAGTGACAAAGACCAAAGGTTATAACACATAAAACAAAAAGACAATCAACTCCCAACTCTCAAATAATGCAATTTCAATGCTTAGGGTTTTTTAGTTTAGCGCATTTTCGTGTCAAATTCTTGTTACTTGAAGATGATGAAGGCATTGCCCCCCGAGAAGTAGGAAATGAAAAACTTACCAAACAACCCAATGAAATTTTCATTTCTACTCGACCCTTTTGAAAACTCTCAACTTATTGGTGAATGTTTGTGCAAATACCATCCCAATAATTCACAAAACAATCTCAAAGGTTAGTCAAAAGAATCTCTTAATTTTTTTTTTAAACTTTGAATTCAAGAAAAAATCAAAACTTGGAAACTTTTGGTGTTAAATCACCTTAGAACCATGTAAATAGTTATAACATTATTTTCCCCTTTGTTTTTTTGGGGAGGGCAGGGGGAGGGGGGGAGGATGTGGTGGGGAGGGGTGTCGGTGGTTGGGGCGGGGGCTCTATACCTCCTGAAACCTTCCTCCCTTTCGGTAGGGGAAAAAGGCATTTTAACCATGCTCATGAGCAATTTTCTACCCAAGAGCACATAGTGCATATGCAGGCGCATCACTTGTTATGTTATTCAGCTGATGCCGTTGCATTATGTGGGCAACGCGCCAAATGTGTGGCCACATCACATTTTTCTGCACATACGGCCTACAGTGGTGCACTCAAGGCTGGCAAAATTTTAAAACAATGGTGTATCAAACTTTTGGTTGTAAATGAAACAGCCTTTTCGTTTTATTAGGCATCCCATCCATCTAACAGCTTGCTCCCTCACTCTAGCAACCTTCTATTTCTCTCTCAAGAAACAACCATAAAACCCATTGTTCTATCTCTAGCATTTGCCAGAGAATCCAAATTTACACTAGCACCCAAGCCCATTTTTTATCTCTTTAGGTGCAGTCATAGTTTGTTATCTTCCTCTTTCGGTTGTAGATGAGGCCCATTGTTTGCCTCTCATTGGGCACAGTCATAGCCCACAATCTCTAACGACGAGCAGTAGTTACCCTATTCTCTTACCATCCAACACTCTATCCCTGTTCTTTTCTCTCTCTGAAGTTTAGCTTTCCACTCTCTTGGCTTCTTCCTCACAATTCAGACCTCTAGGTTTCACTAGTTTCAATAATTTCAAACCTACAATTTTCTGAAGACGGAAGGAGAATTAATAAATGAGGCTGGCATAGAGAAGTGTGGCATGAATTCTCAAGCAAGTTGTGAGATATCATGTGCTTAAACACATGATCAACTCAAATGTCTCCTTGTTGAAGATGAAACTAATACTTGGTTTGAATCTATAGATGTCCTCATCATAGTGCTTGCATTTAAGAATATTCTTGAACTGAATCTCAGATGGCATTAGTGACATATTTGCTTGTTGGTAGTGCTTGCATTTGTGAAATATTTGCTTCTTGTCTCTCTCACTCACTCGAGGTTTCCCTTTCTTGTGTTTTCTCTAATAGGATTAAGTCTAGTCTATCAATCTTGTTTCTCAATTGCTTCCCTCTAAGATCAATTGTAAGTAAATTTTCTAAGGTTATTGCGGGTTTTCTTCAAAGTTAGACAGGGTGAACTAGCACGGTGTATGTAGTTTTGACTTTTTCTTTTCTTAACCAGCTAGAACTCTTACAAAGGTCCAAACAATAGAAAATAAACTCAAATAAAATAAAGATGAAACACAAAATGGATTATCACTCGCTGCCACTTAATACAACTCTTTTATTTCAAGAACAAAAATTACATAAACTTGAAATAGGAACAAGAAACACAAACTGCATAAACAAAAATTAAAGTGCCAAAAGATTACCTCAATTGGACTTGATACACCACACTAGGGTCCCCTCTTCCGATGACGCACGAGATCAAGGTCTTTCTAAAATCTTACGAGTATGAGAAGCCTAGGCTAGAAACCCTTCAATAGAGAGAGCAATGTGGAACAAGACTACAACCTTAAACTGTGTGTATGGGGCGTGCCCCCCTTGGGGCTCTATTGTTGGGGTGGCCCTCTTTTCTTTTTATATTTTTCTAAATATTAGAGAGAGATGAGAGAGATCTGAGAGAGAGGGGCGTGAAGCTCTTTTGAGGAGAGAGAGAGATCTAACTCTAGTGTAGAGAATGGGATCCCCCATGGAGACTATTTACAGACTCATGCTTAGCCATCCTTATGGAGATTAGATCTAGACCATTGATCATAGGGGACCTATAAAGTTAGATATCTTAGCCTGACAATCCTTAGATCAACCATCATGGTGTAATAGAAAGTGCTAGAACCTTATCCTTCAGCTTACTTAACCTAATCCCATCAAATATTTAATTCAAGGAAAATGTATTTCTCTTTCCTTTTATTTCTTCTCATTCTCTTACACATGCCTCAAAATATCTTTCATTGCAAAACCTTCCTTATTTGATTTAAATTGATTGAGTGGCCAACTTGCATGCCACAAATAGGAAGGAGGTGCACTATGTGGGCATGCTACCCATGGGGCTCTATGTGGGCCCCACGCACCTCCCCAGCTGTGTTTAACTAGTGGAGCCCAAGGAGTACAATGGGCCCCCATGTGTATTAATAATTATAAAATTAAAAAAAATATTTTTTAGAAAATATTTACTATTTTTATTATTCTCTTTGATAATTAAATACTGGAAATTCAGCTTTAGCCTATTTATAAATTTGTTCTATGAAAACAATATCTAGAGACTTCTAAAAAATTACTTTATCAATCTAAAAATCATTTATAGTCAAATTAATTATTTCCAAATTAATTTGATGGGCTTCAGATCCAACTATGTTAAGGAAAACGCAAAAATACTAAAGCACTCTATCTTTTACTAGAGACCGCGAACCACATCTATTTTCTCAAATTGACCCAACAGTTCCATGACACCACAGTCCACACAGGGGTTCATGATTGGGCTACCAAAGTCATCCAATAGGCAAGAGGACACAATCCTAGTCTGTGGTTTACAGGTTCCCCCCTATGGACAAGCTTAGAAAACACTGACATGTACATGCACACATCGCAGTTTGGTGCATGAGGGTTATCTCTCACACATATACATACAACAACCTTAATGGTGCTCTATTTCCCGATACGGCTATCATGTGTACATGCCGTGTCATGGTCTATGATAAGGATTTGGCCCTTGTCCCTTCAGACCTACCAATCACACACAAGGGTCAAACAGTCTCTTACCAAACTACCCTGGGGATCTCCGACCTCATCAAGGGGTAATCCTGCTAACCCTTCTCAGTTGTGCTCCATTCCCAAGTACCCTTGCGTTTTAGTACTCAACTGGCCTAGTTCGTCAAGCTTAGTTTGAGTCTCGGCATAAATATTGCTAACCACAGTCCCTCTAGACCATACTCCCACTAGAGTTTATTACTCCACTAAAGTAAAACTGGTTACATACTCTCATAAGACCTTTAAACGGCAACAAATCCCAACATTTTTCTCTCTCAATCTCTCTCTTTCTCTCTCTCTCTCTCTCTCTCTCTCTCTATATACTACTAACGTAACTTAAGTAACGTACTACACGACCACACGTAGTATAGTAAATAACAAACAACTAATAGTATAGTTACTACTA